ATTATTTCACGAAAAAAATTAAAAAAAATAAAGCTTGTTCTTAATTTTTATCAAATATCAAATAATGTGAGTCTATATTCAATACATGAAAGATTGCTTTTTGAGCGCTCATGAATAGCCGCTACCTAACCGTTCAGTGAGCAGTTGCGCTTCTGGATGCACCCAATAAGTAAAGTAATTTTGCAAATTTAAAATATTTATAATTATAATTATTTATGCTATTTAGCATTATTGTCACATAATTAATAAAATGTTATCTAAATTATTGTAATATCTTAATATTTAATTAAAACATATAATAATAAACTTATATATAATTATGTTTATTAAAGAGGGACATACATATCAACATTATTTTCTTCTTTCGTAAATGTGTGCAGTAGACAGTTTCTTCTTAAAATCAGATTTGCTTGCGTAAATAAATTAACTAATTTAACTCGGTGAATATAAGACAATATATAATATATTATATTACTTATAATATCATCTTATGATATCTTCTACCAGCTAATCACAGCTAATTCAACTCAGGGAATATAAAATAGCGTCACACTTTAACCAGTTACGACAGTAAACGTCGGTACCTTTGATGTTGAGGTTTGCGAAACACGTGACCTGCCGCCATAATCTGGAAAAAGTGTCAATTTCAAAAGATAAATATCATAAAGTTAGAAATATTAAAAGTAGAATATTAATATCTTAAAATTAAATATATACTATAATAAAATAACAAATATTTCAGATGATTCATTTTTCATTATATTTTACTATTTATAAAATATAATAGTAAAAATAATAAAACATTTTAGAAGTAAATTACATATATTTTATATTTTATGTATATAATATAAGATATAATATACATTACAATATAAAGATTTACATATGTACTATTAGATAAACAGAAATATTATTAAATTTAATTGCATTAATAAAATAGAAAAATAATAAACGTAAACTATACATGTATATATATATATATATATAATAATATATAAAAGACTAATAACTGAAAATTATATATATTTATATATTCATATTAATATAAAATGAAATATATGTATAATCTTCAAAGATATTACTATTCCATAACTTTTGAAGTTATACTTACATACTGATAATAAATTCGAAGATATTCAGTTTAAAATTAAAAGAATAAAAATAAAAAAATAAAAATAATAAACTAAAAAAACGTATTTAATAAACTAAAAAATATTTAATATAAACTATAATAATAAAATAAACTAAAAAAATAAAAATAAACTAAAAGAGCATATTATGTTGCTACCAAAGTCAGAAGTGAAATAAAAAGATTAACAATGTTGTAAGATCACAGATCATTTTTCGATGACCTGATTGAAATTTGAAACGTCTATTGGTAAATTTCAATGTATAAAATAAACGTACTTTACTATATAAAGTTAACAAATATTGTTTTGGAAACTATTCAAGGATGAAAAATAAAAAATATTTTTGAAAATTTTGTTAATAATTTTGTGATTATATTGTTTTTTTATA